TAATTTTCCAATAATTTGTCCAATAACTTACAAGAACAAGATCAAAATCATATTTTTTAAATTTTTGACTGAAAAATATTGTAAATTTATTAAATTTAGCAAAAAAATGACTTAATTTTGCTTTATTTAAAAAAAATCTTTTGGCAAAAAACACTTTCCAGATAATTTTGCAATTTTCATCTTTGTTCTGGTGATTTTATTGAAATAAGCAAAAAAAACGTATTTCCAACCTTAATTTACCAATTTATCAGAATTGTTTATGCAAACTCTCTCAATTTTTGACTGAAAAATATTCTAAATTTATTAAATTAAGCATAAGTCCCAAACGTGGCGAGCAAGCTCGAGGAGGAGGAGGGGGTTAAAGGTGTCTTTTTTTGTTTTTTTGCTTATATCTCGGAAACGATCACTCCTATATCGGTTTTCCCTTCTTAATCAAAATTAAAGCTTACAAAATTTTCTACAAAAATGCGTTTTTGTTGTAGGACTAAGTGTAAGCGAGTTATGGGCTGACAAGAAACATTATTTAAAAAAATGTGCTTTATCCGCATTTAATCCGCAATAAATTGAATTTATTGGGTCCAACACTTTATTAGAAGAGGAAGGGAGAGGCACGGGAGTCTTCGGAGTCGTCCTCATATGCTGCATTTTCGTCTTCATTGTTCAGTATAATATTAATGGATAGATGATTTAATATAGATAATTTGAATAAAACTTACAGTAAATTGAATGTATGTAAAATGGTCCTATGCATTTTCATCGAAGGACTAACCGTAAGTGAGCTACGGGCTTCTGAAATTTGGAGTCTACATAAAAATGGGGTGTAAACGTTTAAACGAAGATATAAACACATTATAAAATTACTTAGAGGGTGTAAAGGTGCACTTAAATCAGATTTTTCCAAAATTAGTTTCTAGGAGGATGAAACGGTGTACACATTTAAAGAAGTATAGAAATATAAGATTTGAAAAATAAGAAAATGTCTCTCCTCGAGCTCACGGGGACTTTTGATATATGTCTACCCAAGTGTAAAAAAAGCGTTTAAAAAAATTCCAACTCTAGTATTTTTTTCCACCGATTTGTCTAATTTGACTGTGCTACAAACCTTTTGTCGATAAAAACACCCATAGTTCGTAACCAAGTAATATTTTTATTTATCCTAAATTCAAAAAACTTCAGAGATTACATGTCACTCACGTTTTGATTACTTTTTTTAATTGAAAAATCTTTTAACGATGGATGCTGAATATGAAGAGTTATACAAGTGGATCGAAGAACATAAAATATCTCGACCCAAACGTAACATAAACCGCGATTTTTCCGATGCAAGTAAGGTTTCAAAACTTATCATCCAATTAAATTTTGCAAGATGACAATTTCAGTACCTCTTATTGAAATCCTAAAAGTACATTACCCCAAACTTGTGGAAGTGCACAATTACAGTCCAAAAAACTCCTTCGCTCAGAAAATAATCAACTGGGAAACTCTTAACAATAAAGTATTAAAGAGAATAAAAGTCAACTTGACCAAAAAAAGGATTGAACAACTGGCAAAAGCTGAACCTGGTGTAATAGAAAAAGTCCTTTTAGATTTAAAAAAGAAAGTTGAATCAAAAGATACAAATAACGACAATTACGAAATCCTTTACCTAGAAGGAAGTCCATGTATGTCTTAAACTAAGTAAAGCAACGTTTAATGTTTATTCTCTTCAGCTTCAGCAAGTAAGAACGGAACTACTAAAAAAGTGATAACACACGCAGCGTTTGAAAAACTGCAAGCAGATCTTGCGGAAAAAACTGAGGCAGTCTCCATACTGAAAAATAAAGTAGACCACCTGGAAAATTTATTAAACATCAAAGAAGAAAGAATTAAAGATCTGAGTTTGCAGCTGCAAACTATAGTCAACCAATCGTCAAGACCTGAATCTGGTCAAGGTTCAAAGTTTTTCGGTTTTTTTCAATCCGCTAATCTAGTATCTGATCCAATCAAAAACGAATAACGTAATGTAATTTATTGGAAATAAAGCGTCTCAAAAACACGTTACACTGTTAAAAATTAAAAGTCACCACATTGAAATATTTTTGTCCAAATAATGAGCAATGAGCTTATTTTTTATGATTGGTTGGTTTCGTGTTTTCCCAAAATTTGCCAAGTGAACCAAAAAAAGCTCAGTAAAATTGTATTCCACCAAAAATTCCTGCTCATTCTGTTCGGCTATTCTTCGACATTCTTTAAAAATTAAACGAAAGTTGTTAGGAAATTTTTTAACAAAATCATGACATTGCTCATGACTCATATCTTCAAGACCTATCCGAGACATCATCCAAAATCTTTCATAAGGATTATAATGCTTAGGATAATTATCCAAAGATGCTTCTAAGTCCTTTTGAATTTGCTCTAAATCATTGTCAACAACCAACCAATTTCTATTATTCAACTGTTGCAAATTTCGTTTAAAATATGTTTCGTTACCTTCCTGAAAGTTAGTTTTCATCTTGTCGCTTTTATCTGTAGCATCTTCAGACGAAACTTCACTTTTCGGTTTGAGTTTTGTGTCAAAACTAAGTTTCACAGTTACAAATTTTCGTCTATTTATCATTTTTCTGTTCAGTTCGTTTTTAAAGCATGTAATTTTTTCGACAACCCAATCCTCATTAGCCCCTCCATTAACAATTTCAGGTTGCGTTCCTTGATTCATAACTTGCAGAAATTTAATTGGCTTCAATATGTGTACTAAACTATCGTTAGAAAAATCTCTTGATAAAATTTCCAAATACTCGTATTTAGGTAACATTTTGATATAATCCAAAAACGGAGTGAATGTAACAGGAAATTGGGTAAATTCAGGGACATCAAGCTCGTTTTTTAATTTCTCTAATAGTTGCTTATAATTGTCTGAAGTCGAGCTAAGTTTTGCTGATGCTGAATAATCTTTTCTGCCAAGTACACTCAAGGCTAAATTTACATTGTTAAAATTGTTCTCGTCGTTAAAACTTGTAGGAAAATGCTGATAATTTATCACTAAATCTCTGTATTCGATATACTTAAGCCATTCGATTATGTTAAACATTTTCCGTCTAACGGTTTCACATTTATTTAAAATATCAGAATAGTGTCCTAAATGAAATTCAGTCATATCATCTAATCCAAATAATAATTTAAGTACAAAGAGAATAACACTCAAAACGCGCCCTTCGTAATTAGGAACTCTCCCATTTTGTTTACGAAAAGACATTTTAATATCAGCCCTTGAGATAATAATTTTCGCACAGTTGCAAATTTCAACAGGCAAATTCAGTTCCTTGCAATAACGTTCACACAATTCTGCTAAATTTGGACACGAAATATAAGAACTGACTTGTAATAAAATTGACATTTCTAAAGCAATTGCTCGGAATGGTGCATTCACAAACATTGTGTTTTTCTTAAAATTACGAAAATTGAGAGTTTTGTCGGCAAAATCTTCAGGGAAAAAGTGACTGTAATAATTAAAACTCAAATGCCCCTCTTTAATGAATCTCAAAATATCACTCAGTTGTATCCTGCTTTTAATAATAAGCAATCCTAGGTACAAAATAGAATATAATTTATTTATTGAAAGTATATAAGGGCTAGCGCGGTATTTCCCCGAGATTTTCCTGTAACTCAACTTGTGGCATTTTAGATTGTGCTCAAAGTCCCTTTGATGCTTCTGCCAGTGATAGCGTGAGTTTTTAATCTTCCTTAACTCTTTATTAGCATAAATATTATATTTAATAGGCACAGCGCTTTTAGAACTTTTCTCAGAACCCGTTTGAAGACTTGTCAAAGTTTCATTTTGCAATGAAGACGTCCCTTGCGACTTTTTACTGAATTCTTCATACTGAGCCTTAGCCAAAGCACGCTTCCTCTTGACTCTTTCATGCTTCATTGAAGTCGAATCTAAAGATGTAACATCCAGTTCACTCGACGACGATTTATTTCGCTTCCGTTTCTTTTTCGCCAGTTTTCCATACACGATTTCAGCATCCCTGTAATAATTTATTAACACAAACAATTCTCAAAATAATCCATAACTCACACGTTACTACAAACAGCTTGCAGTTTTGGCAACTCATCACGTCCCAGTTTGAAAACTTCCAATTTTTCCAAATAACGCATCCACAAGATGCGAACTACCGACTTCAACTTTTTATCAGCCCCCAAATTTATAAGTTCATTCGTAAGACCGAGAAGAACGTAGTTGTAACACTCCCAACTTGTAATTTTACTCTCAGTCTTTGTCGTTTTATCGCTTTGGATTTTTTTAGTCCTTTGACGGTTTTCGGGGGTGTATTCATCATAAACGTACTCTTGGACCTCCTGAGACTGAATTTGACACCCGCTGCAGAAGTAGAAACCAGCCTCTTTATAGAAATCGTCACCTCCGCACTGCTCACACACTATATTCTGCATTTTGAGTGTTAAAGAACATTAAAACGTGCAAATTTGAGGTTATGTTGGAAAAAACCTCTGTCACTGATTCTGTTTTGTAGGTTATGTTTATTGACAATTGACATAACCCCACTTTACGTTTAAAAGTTGAGCCCATTTGAGTGCAGTTTTCAATATTTATCAGTGAAAATTTAAAAAATGAGTGATTATGATGAAAGTTTTGATGAAGATGACGATGACTGTGGTATTTTGAAACAAGCACTTCATGTGGAATTTCCGGAAAACTTCAATCCGAATAAAGTGCCCCAGACTGGTATTTTTCCCTTTTACTACAAAGGAAAACACTAACATTACTATTTGTAGGTGAAGAATATTTACAACACGTTATTTATGAAAGACGTCAGTGTAAAACCTGGCTCACTGCAGATATTGATAGAAGCAAATTTTTAAATCAGCAAACCCTGAAACTGGAAGTGGTAAATAAATTTATTGGGAAATAAATTTTGGCTACAGTCAATGCATTTTAGGGAAATCGAATCAACAAAGGATCCCCTTTACTGCTTCCATCTAAAAAGTGGCAAACACAAAAAATTGATGAATTTACTAGTTTTCAAAAATTCATTTGTTTCAAAATTGATAAAGAATCTACAGTTTCATCATTTAATGAAGAGACATTTTTGAACAAAGTTTTGTTACAAGATCCCCAGTTTTCTGAACTTGCAGCTTACACTCAAGCTGCTAAAATAAGAATGTTTCAAATAATATCAAAGCATGTGAATTCAATACCAAAGGGAGAAAGCCTGGGAAAGAAAATGGGAGCTTGGATTTATGCAATTTTGACACTATTAGAAAAACCTCTAAGTCCTGATTCATGCTACACCTTGCGTGAATTTGCCAAGAGGTGCTTAGATTTAAGATCCAATTTAGATGAACATGCAAGTGAAGAATTGTACATGCCGTTAAATTTATTCATTTGCATTATCGCTAGATTTTACAACCAGCTTGATTTAGCGGACCCTTTCTGATTAAAAAGTCTATTCATTTAAGAATTTATTAGAGAACCTGTCTCATCCACATATCCCACACTAGGTGGCGCCAGCAGTGCTGACTATGCAACACATTATTGCTTATTAGGAACACCTCTGTGGTCGTCCACAAGTGGAAGAAAATATTGATATTCGTTTGTTCAATGTTCGTGTTCGGGTAATATCGACTTTTCGTGTAAATAAACCTAACCTCTCCATTATAAAATTCACTTCGGCCAGTTCGGCGGATGGAGATTAGTGCGAGATCGATGTGCGATTGGATGATAGTTGACATTTGAATGCTTAGGTGTGCATAGAGAGTGGTGTATAGCAATCTGTGCGTGTGAGACAGAGAATGTATCCATCAGACGTTGCTGTCGCTATTGCATCTCTTCAATTGTTATGATTAACCTGTTGATATCAGGTCATTTGAGTGCGGCAAAATAAACAAATAAAAATAAACATTTTTTGGGCACGGAATGCGATTTATAATCGGTCGTATCTACTGGAATACGGAAAAGAAAAGCAAGGAGGAATTTTACCAATATTGTAAGTAGAATCCTTATAAAATTTAATTTAAAAATTGAATTACAAATATCCACATTAAAAAGTAATAGCTTGCGCCACCCCTATTTTCCAAGAAAATCAGGTTTGTCACTGAATCGGGTTACTTTGTTTAATCGATAATTAGCCGGTGCTAATTAAATTATGTTCAGGCTGAATCTTGTTTTTCGTCTTGTTTAGTCTTCCCATTTTCTGGCCTACCTACTATAATAAATTATCAACCTGTAAGAATTTATTTTTTATTTAACAAGAGATTAAAGTGTTATTCATTTAGTTTTGAGACTTTTCTATACATTTATTTATTTACATAATGGTATTTTAAGTACTAATAAAACACTGCATTTTCTCTATGATATACCTGATGGCTAGGAAAAACGAATCCTGTTTAAAGCTCTCATATTCCAGAACGCTTTGAGGTAGCGATTTAAATTTTTGCTTTCTAAGAGACAATAGATTAAAAATTATTTCTTCCGAATTACAATTACTTTGAAAAACACGAAAATGAAGATTTTTTTATTATCAACAAAAAAAAACAATCAATCAATTGCACGTTGATCAAGTTCTTAAACATTCTAGCAACAAATATATTTATAGACATTCCTAGCGTCACCTTTTTTAGTCGCGCCGACACAGATTTTTAAAGTTTAGTCTTTTTTAATACCCTTATTATTTTTAGCCCGATTTATGCAAAAAGTATCTGTTCCTCTGAAACTCCCTTGCAATTTTTTTTCACGTCAAATAGGTATTTCTCGATAACAAATTTCAATTATCACCAAATCAATAAATCAGACATTATTCAATGATGAGGTGCCATTTTTTCAATAGAGATTAAGTTAATTAGTAAAAAATGTCACTTAACTAGAGAGCGTTTCAAAATGATTGATATAACAGACTTCAATTTTAGTTTCAAAAAAGTTACTATTGTAACATTCTTTAGATCTCGATACGTCATAAAAATGACATTTCAGTTGAATTCTGTCTGGAAAAATAACATAACTTATTTGTCCAAGAGAAATGTGGAACAGACAGGAAATAGGAGAGATTAAGCACAAAAACCACTTAAAAACGACAAATGTCACAAATTGTAAAAATAACTTATAAATAAATAACGTCGTACAAAAATGAACAATGTAGAAATGTTGATGCCACTTTTAATTTTAATTTCCTTAACCTATCGAGATGTCAATACTTTTGAAACGCTCTATAATTAATAAATAGTTGCTAAAATATAACTAGATTTAAGGCCCCGCCCTTACGTGGTTATCAATAAAAAAACTCAAAGGGAGCGTCGTAAGCACACTGTCACGTCGAAATTTAGTTTAAATTAAAGTTTGATTCTAAATATTGTGTTTTTTATCCAACTTCGTAAAGAACATTGTAAAACATACAACATAATTTATAGAAGCTAAATATGTTACATGAAATCAAGAAAAAATAAAGTTCAGTGTAATTTTTGCTCTGATACGATTGGTTTGCTAGTTGCTAACAATTCAAAAAGGGAGGAGTATTCATCATTTTACACTTTATGGACTATAATTTACGAAATAATAACTAACTGCCAATGTCACTCATAAAATCATTTGTTTTAACAAAAGGTTACAATAATTTAAATTGCTTATGAATTATTAAAAAAAATACTATTTTGTGTTTATTTAAAATAAGTGTAATTTATCAGGAATAATTTTCAATCTATTGTCTCTTAGAATGTAAAAATTGAAATCGTTATCTCCAAGCGTTCTGAAGGTATGAAGACTTAAACTCTTAAACAGTATTCACATAATTCTATCCACCCGATATTTTTAAGTTCAATAGATTATGGAAACTGAATCGTTTAGAAAAATTAGATTTATTCGGAAGAATATGAAAGGTTTAACCAATCCTACATCTCGAAAAAGTCACGATTTTAATTTTTAAGGTGTTGGACCGCGCAAACTTTGGCATCAACCCAACTCCCCTAGCTTATTATTTATTTGAAGATTTTTTTTTCTTTATCAACAGAGCGTTTCAATTTTGAAGCAGGGAATCCCCTAGAAACTACATTTATTTTTGTGGTCTCCACATTTTATAGCTTTCGTCCAATGTATTAGATAAGAATGAACATTTTAAATGTAACTCTTCATTTATTTTAATCATTAATATGTATAATTCATTTTAGTTGATTTAAATAATAATTAAATATGCTTTGGGACTTCTCTATTGGCAATGTTGTAATTGCGGTTTTTGAGTTGAAATAAGTTACTAACATTTGATCTCCTTATAAAAGAATAATAATCTGTGTTACAACTGAATTCTACTAACAAATATAATGCAATTATGTATTTCGTACATAACAAACCTTGCGAAAAGAACAGAATCTCAGAAAAAAGAAAAAATACCGAGCAATATGTAGAGATTTTTAGAAATGAACCTGTATAACCTTTCATTTCTTTTTCAAAAATTGTTAAAACATTGTTATTAAAAATACATGCCGCTATGCGTTCTTCCAGATTTACTACATTTTTTCCTGGTTATTGTTATGATATGTTTTAAATGTGAGAAATTTTCGTCAACTCCTAGGAAGAATCCTGCAGACTCCAGTTTAAGCATCGCTGGAATAGACCTTTAACAAAAAGCCATTAAACTTAGATACGAGTAAAGCTATGTTATTTTTAAATTTGGAATACGTTTTAATAATAATTTTATAAACAACTAAAAGTGTAACCAATAGGTGCTTATAGGTGTCAAATAAATTTTTGTAAAGTATGTAAGTTGCAATGTTTTATTAATGAAAAAGTCTTATCCAAATGACGGTACTTGAAAGGTATAACATTGTGTCCATTTTTGTACTTGTAGAATTTTTCCCTTTTTACACAGCACGTGTTTATTTACCTTGTACATAATGTTTTAAATCATTGCATTTATGGGAGTAAACAATAGAAAAACACTGGTAGTAAGTATGCTTTTGTTGTCATACTCCTAAAAATATAAACTGTTTAGTTATGAGAAACCGCAGTTTAAAATTTTTTTGAAAGCAAACAAATTGCTCAACTGCGTAGCGTTGTATAACTCTGTCATAAATGATAAAACTGACAAGAAAGTAAAACGCTAATAATAAGAACATGTACAAGTAGATATTACATTGGATAGAACTAGAATAAACAAGTTAAAACTTGTGAAATTAGGTAAATGAAATCGCTATTGTAAATCAAACAAATATAGAACTTTGTATTGCATCATTCTAAAAATTGAAGATATTCAGTTTACTGGTTGTGATTTTATCTTATCGTAGTATTTTAAAGATCATCATTTATTTTGATTGGTTTTAAAATTGCTCGTACAGCAGGTAAATTTGATCTTTTCGATTCTCGTTTCAAAACAAAATATCACGATCTTGATGTATAAACTTCACCTTGGCCTTGTAAGCTCATATTTTATTCTTTAGATTCCTCTTTCGTTGGCCGTCAAGTGTGACTTTTACTCTAAGCGAGAGCCTTGTGACATCTAAGCGAATAAAAGAGCAAATACACACTATTCCTAGTGTAACAAAATAATATTTAATCTCATTTTTTGTAGATTCACAGTTGAATAGGCTTGCAAACTCATTTAAAGAACCATGAACAGCTTTTTTCAAACGTCAATTTCGTTAGACATTTTGATGAAGAAACTATAAATTACGATATCAACATTTTTATGAATTCAGATCGGAACGAAAAATTTTGACCAGTCGCCGTGTTGGTCGGTTGTCAAAATTTCACATCATACGTCAGAAAGCAAAATTTTTTGTATCATTCTCCCAAATCTGGCAAAGAGGTTTTAGGAATGGCTCATCTATACGCGGCGTATAGGTGTAATTTTTGCTGTGAGCTTCCGGAGACAACACCAATCTACCACTGCCCTAACAGACATCAATACTGCAATGAATGCTTCAGAAAGTTGCAAAGGCTTTATCGTGGTAAGAACAAGAAGGAGTTCAATAATCGAACAAAGAGTTCGAAAGTAGACTGTTGAAGGCAAATCAATAACTCCAATGCTTGATTTGCCTCGAATAGTTTTGATTGTCTAACGAGTAGTTCTTAGGGAGCGTTGAGGGCGGAGGCTGTTGTTTAATTTGTAAATGTGCTGCCAAATTTGAAAAAAGTGATGTAAGTTCGGAGTTATTGAAAAAACTTAAAGTTAAACCAGGAATCGGACGACCCTTAAAATGTAACCCAAGGAAGAATATGTTTCTCGATGATGGTGAAATTTCTACTGGTGAAAACATGTTTGGCTCACAACTTGAAAAGAACCAAGGCGATGGCTTAAAATCTTTAAAAATGAGATCAATGAGTGCCACAACAATGTCAAAACGACCTCTGACATGTCTTCACGATGGTTGTAGAAAATCAGTAGCCGTTTCCTCCCTCGTTAGCCATTTCAAACATGATCACCCAGCAGTTCCTTGCTTTGGAATCGAAAGGGGGCGAGAGTTAAAAATGTTATTTGACATTTCGTTAGTGGAACACAATCGAACTTTCTGTCTATCGATGATAACGGTTTACGAATTTAACAAAATCGACGTCGTTCGCTCGAAAAGTTCTCAAAGTGTGATCAATACTTGCAGTAAGCTGTCTGGGAGAGTGCCGCTTAACACTTTCTGGTTAATGATGAGCGGTTCGAGTGAATACAGGAAAGACAATTTCTATGTACTTTTCTGGCTTTATTCGAATTGCGAAGATCGATTTTGGTACACGATAGAGCTGTCATCGAAAAACGATAGAATTAGTGATTCAAGTTTTTGCAGTGCTGTTGGTTTGCATGAAAGTCGCACCGTGGAAGACGTTGCCAGAAGTATGAACTGCCTCTTTGTCAATTATGGGTCTTTTATAGCCCTTCTTGAAGAAGGGGATAAAATTAATTTAAGAATCACCGTACATTAAGTTTAAATTATCTGTGCCTATTTAATTCGTATTTGCAGGGAAGCTCTCACAATAAAAGAATTTTTCTTAAGTATATGTACTATACTATGATGCTCTAGATAAGAATTTACAGTTCTTTATAGAAAATACTAAAGTGAAAATAACTGTATTATTGTAGACAATTCACTAATAAATCATTTTCATTACTATTATAGCTTGTTCCAAATCTGGTGGCGAACTGACGTTTTCAAAAATGACTGAATTTTGACACTAAACATATGTTGACTATTAAAAAAAATATTGTTCACAGGCGTCGTATGAAATAATATTTCAAAACCACTGTTATTCTTTAAAAAATTATAATAAGTAGGTACTCGTACATAAGATGAAGAATGATGAACAAATTATTAAATTGTTAACGCATGAAAAGAATTTTCAAAAATTATATTCCTAACAATCGTTGTCTTCAAAATTTTTACAGAAAAAAAGTACGCCTATGTATTTTTTTATCTTAACCAAGTGGGCGCACTCCAAGTGTCTTTTCTGTCACTGTCAGTTCGCCACCAGATATAGAATAAGCTCTACATTTGTTACTTACATACTACTTTCTACATACTACATACTATTTTCTTTAGAATAAGTAACTGAGTATTTTTTACTTGAGAATAGCTGATATTACGTAGCAGTAAAGAAGGTTCCCTAATAATGAAAATTAAAGTTCTTTTATTTTTAATAATTACATAATATTAGGGAAGTATATCAAAGAAAGTAAACACAATCAAAAAAATATTTTGAAAATGTAACAAAATAAACAGATTTAAAGCAATTTTAAGCCTTGTTGAGTCTAATTCGAAGATTAAAATATTGTATTCAACTCATCTTCGTGTAAATCGGTTAATTTATTCCACTTCGTTAACACTCGTGGTTTAAAAATCCACTTGTGAAATAAAGCGTCCGATTTACACTCAAACTGGTCGAATAAATACCTATTAAAGCCTCGTACTTACTATTAATTTTTTGAATTTGATCATTATTTTAAAATGTTCTTCTGGACATAACAAAATAGAACAGTAAATTATATAATCCGCGCCAAAATTGTCACATATGTATTTGTAAATTTAATGTTATCATTTTTGTCAACTATTTCATTTTATTTCAACTATTTCAGCAGAGGTGAGAGAAATATACTCACCTATTTATTTCATGTTTTTTTTTGTAAAAGTAAATCAAAACGAAATGTTGATAGGATTGTGTTTAATTAAAGAAAAATCATGGCAATTTCACTTTCTCTCTTAATCATTGTAAAATTTCTATTAGTTATCAACGCTAAATGGTGTAAAAACAACCTGTTCTTGTAATTCAGCGCACAAGGCATAGGAGAGACTAAATTTTGATGATTCTGGAAAGTTTGTTGCCATTATTGCAGCTCTTGTCTCAAATGGATTTTCTCGTAAGCGATTACAGAGAGCTTCATCTTGGTCAGGAGTTGAAATTTGAGGGTGATATACAGGCTGCACCAGAACTCGCGCCCCAGAGAAAATGCCATATAAGGTAAGATACCAGGAACATGGAAAAAAATGTTAAAAAAATTTTATCTATAAAAATTTCGAAGTTATGAGGGTTTAAAGTTTGCACTTTAACTCTATTTATTTTTGTTGGAAAAATAATTTTCCAAGTTTTTTTGCTATAGGCTATTAATAGAGGAAACAAGGAAGCTGTATCCTAAATTGTAACTCTGTTCTATGTTATTTGTGGCTTATATTGGCAAAATTTTTGTCCCTTTACTAAATAATTGTAAAAAAACATATACAAGATCATTATTATCATTAAATAGATATAACAAAGTGTTAAATGTCAAAAAATAAATGTCAAAATTTTTTGACAGATCGAATTTTTTTAACATTTTTTTCATGTTCCTGGTATCTTTCTTACCTTACCTGAAAATTTTCTCTGGGGCGCGAGTTCTGTCGCACCCTGTATATCTATTAAAACTATGTTACGTTCTACGTAGATACCTGCTTTTTATTTTTCTTTTGAGACATTTTCTGGTAATCTGGTAATATTTTTTTTCGTTCGAACTCATTTTGCGTTAGATGTTTCAAATTTCACATTTGCAGCTATTACAACTACGGACACAGAATTTTGGACATCAAATTTATGTCAGTTCAAAAAATGTCAATGCAAGTCACGCTTTATTGTCATTATGATTGACGTTTGAAACTAAAATTGAAAGTTTTAGTTGCAATTTAGTTTAGGCGTTGATTTTCCGAAATAATAATGTCAGCAGCACGTGTTTTTATACCGGGTGTCCCAGGCAGTCTTGGATATAGGAAATTAATATGGAAAATTTGTTTTTATTTTTTTCCGGCTGCAGAAGTAGCCAAGATCAAAATCTGATTGATGGAGCTTGTAGTGCTTGAAGAGGGCTATCTTATAGATATTTTTGTCGATTCTCCAATTAACTCCATTTGGGCGAAAACG